TTGCCATACTCCCAAACAAACACCAAGCATCGATGTATACATTCGACTAAATTCGACAAGTAGCCGTTGGGTGCTTACTATGTGGGAAAAGGTGTCATGCAGATTTTCTTCCTGGCTTCTCCCACCCTGAAAGAATAAGCTAAATAAGATGGCACCTTTCACTATCGTAGAAAGAACAATGAATTTAGAATCAGAGGACTTGGCTTTGGGTCCTCAATCTGACTCTTACTACCTGTGTGACCTCAGGCAAATCACTCAACCTCTCTGGGCCTGATTAAAATGAAGGCTTTGTGCCTGATGATCTTCAAGGTCCTTTCCAATTCTAAATCTACAAACTTTTCAAAACAAGAGCTCATTTTAGCATAGCAAGCCAAGCCCTTCTATCTTCCACTTTCCCTCCAAATCTGTTCAAGTTCAGGGGCCTTAAAGTAGGAAAACTCAAAGCAAGCCATGATCCCAGCAATGTCAATGTTCTTGCAAACCATGCAAGTCACCCCAAGCACTGATGGGCCATTTTATAGTTTCACAAAGCAACTTTTTTCCCAAACTACCCTGAATGTCATTTTTGGAGGCAGCTAGGTGGCTGCTCAGTAGACAGAGTGCTGGGCCTGAAGTCCGGGAGACCTGAGTTCAAATCCAGCCTCAGACACTTACTAGTTATGTGATCCTGGGCAAGTCACTTAACCTGTTTGCCTTAATCCTCTGGAGAAGGAAATGGCAAAATGTTCCAAACGAAGAGTCACACACGACTAACTGATTGAACAACAAAAAGTGTCATTTTACAGATGGTGAAACTGAGGCTCAAAGGTCGAGTGACTTGCCTACACACATATGGTGAATGAGTATCCAAGCCAGGATTTGAACTCAGGTCTTCAGACTCCAAGACTAGCGTTCCTTCCACAACATGCCCGTCAAGGCAGCTGGTAGCATAGTGGACAGAAAACACCGGCCTTGGAGGCAGGAAGACCTAAGTTCAAAGCTGGCCTCAGAGACTTAGCATCTGTGAGACCCTGGGCAAGTCACTTAACCTGTCTGCCTGAGTTTCCTCAGCTGTAAAAAATGATTTCATTGCCCATGAAGGGTTTCTGTGAGGTCAAATGAGATAATTTTTTAAAAAGTGCTTGGTACAGTGTTTGGCACATAATAGACGCTATATGGGAATAAATATTCCCTTCCTTCCCCCTCCTCCCCATATCACAATGCTTTCCCTAATTGAAGAGTCATCATTACTGGATGTCCCATAGGCAAAGGGGCACCAGCTGGCATGGCAGCAGGAACTCTGGCAGGCTGAATGATCCTGACTCTACATCCTGAGATAGTATACTATCTAAGTCACAGTGCTCAGGCAATCAATGGCTCCTGCTGAGTGAGGATGGCTTTCTGCCATGGGGGAAAAAATGGGTGCAGCTATTTCTTGCTGTTATTTTACACTGAGGGAGTCAATGCATCCTGCTGATCTCAGGTCTTGATAAAAGTATCCCAAGAACCTAATTTTATTGAATGCCACATGATTTTTTTCCAGGTATCACTAACCATATTGCTTAAAGATGAATAACGTTCCCAAGAAAGCAGATCATTTCTCTTTCCAGTTATCATCTGAGGTGCACTTGGTGAAGTGGACAGTTTCCTAGTAGATTTGCAAAGGCTAACACTATAGTTAGTTTCTGAGTATTGCCCATCTACTCCCTCCCCGAACAAAGTTCAAAAGCCAGGCACCCTGGAATCCAAAGCCTTTTAGAGTAATTATTGCGAAATCACAGACTTTCCCCTCAGATTTTCACTCCCTCTTTTTCTACCTAATTCATTCTGTTTATTTGGTTTTAGGAAGGAAACCACCTAAGCATGTAAAATTGAAACTTGCCATTGGGGAATTTTCTTAAGATGAAAACTGACCCAGTCCTTACCCTCAAAGAGTTCACAATCAGGTGTACGTGTAGGGGAGGGGACTATAGGGGGTGGGGAGAAGAGAAATAGGGGAAAGAATGAGGAGATGTACACAAATAAGTATAATATTAGGTTAAAAATGATTAAGTATATAGGACAGGTCAAACAGAGTGGCTTGAGAGATTCAAGGAAAGAGGGATTATTTCCAGCTGATTTTAATCTACTTATAGAATCTAACCTAACCAGTACTTATTATTTTTAGCAACAAATTGATTTAGCCTGGTTTAAGGAAAAAGACCCTCCCTGCTCAACAAATGAATACATTCCCTTCGTTTTGATGCCTGATCTCTCTAGTGTAGTATGGTGGAAAGACCACTGGACTTGGATTCAGTAGAACTGAGTCTGAAACTTGGCTCTGACACTTATTAGCTCTGTGACCAAGGACAAGTCATTTAATTCTCCGAGCCCAGGCTTCTTCACCTGTAAGAACTTCCAGTTCTAAAATTCTATGATTCTAGGGGGTGGGGGCAGGTGAAGTGACAGAATTCAACGGAAGCAGTTAGATTGATTTGAAAGATAGATTCGTATCTTATCAGTGCCTTTTCTACTGCAGCTTAGCCAACAGGAGAAGTTTATTCTTGGAAGTCTGTTTACTTTATCCCTTTGCCTCCTTGAGGAATTAGTAAGCTTCGCTGCCTCTGATGGTTGAATGAAGCTTGCTGATGAACTCTACCTTTAATCTGGCAGCTGGTAGGCTTCCTGGATAAGGTTTGTGATGAGCTAAAACAGCCCTCTCCTCTGTCTTTTCCATCATAAGATATGCTATTGTTCTGCCACTGCTGAAGGACAATGCCCAGGACACAGGACTGGCAGACAGGGTGCAGCATTCTGACTGTGATGGAGTGTGTGTGTGGGGGGGGAAGGGGATCCCTCAATCTCCAGTGTAAACATTTTTGCCCAAATAACTTGTTTATGCAGTCCATGGTTGGAATACATTTACATTTAAGAAAATAAAATAACATTAAGATACATGAACACTCCCCCATCTGTGTGGGCTTGATGATACAACCCTGAGTATTAGTGTCACTTTGTTTTACTGTAGTAAAAAAGCAAGTTGGCCCTGGCAGGGCCCCTTGCCCTTGGGTGCTATGACTTGGAGTAAATGGACCTTTAAACTCTGAATTTACTTGTAAATAGTGCAATCTCTTCAATCTCGCTGTTAATCTATAGGCGGAGGCCCTGTCTTCTCCTTCCTCTATGTGTGCTTCATATGCAGAAAGCCTGGTGACCCTGTACAATTTGACTTTTGAGTTCATTTGTCCTGAAGGTCACTTCATGTTATCAGGCCCCTTTCTGGAGCTAACATGGTAACACTCATCAATTGAACAGCTTCAGACAGCCCGCACTTGGAGAGGCTTCAAAATCCCCAGAGAACCTGTCTGTCAGGGCCAGAAAAGCCTCTGCTGAAGGGCCAGACTGGTTCTGAGAGGGGGATTGCTTTGCTGAGTTTTGTGACTTTATTTTGTGTTCTTTAAAAATAGAGGCACCAAACCAAAGAAATGTGGGGGGACCCTAGGCTGGGCATCACCTGAAAGGGGAACAGACACAGAGTGAGCCCTAAGGAAGGCTATGAGTCACAAAGCTGGGCAGCCCAAGTCAGTCTAAAAGCTACATTACCTTTTGAGCTAGTCCAGAAAGGCAGGACTCAGATCAAAACTGATTCAATCTTTTCCTGGAAGTCCCCCAGGGCTAGGCTCTAACCAGCACTCATTTTTACCTGCTGTCTTTTAGCAACTTACGTTTATATTTGACTTTCTGAAGGTAGGCTTGTCTTTTAGTGGCTGGGGCAGATGGAGTAGCAGTCAGAGTCAGGACAGGGCCCTATTTTTTTTCCCCCTTTGCAAGGCAATCAGGGTTAAGTGACTTGCCCAGGGTCACATAGCTACTAAGTGTCAAGTGTCAGAGGCTAGATTTTAACTCAGATCCTCCTGACTCCAGGGCAGGTGCTTTATCCACTGCACCACCTAGCTGCCCCAGGACAGGGTCCTATTAATTATTCAATAAGCATTTACTAGGCACCTACTCTATGCTAGGTGCTATGGATACAAAGAAAGGCAAAAGACAGTCTTTGTTCTTGGGGGCCTCACAGTCTAATGGGAGAGATAACAAGCAAACAACTACATACAGACAAGAGACAGGATAAAATGGAGATAGCCAACAGAGTATAGGCACTGGCATTAAGTGGAAGCAGGAAAGGTTTCATGTAGAAGGGGAGATTTTAGCTGGGTCTTGAAGGAAGACAGGAGGGATAGTGGATAGAGTGCTGACCTGGAGTCAGGGGGACTGAATTCAAATCTGGCTTCAGACACTTATTAATGGTTATGTCCCTGGACAAGTCACTTTACCTCCATCTACCTAAATTTCCTTAAATGTAAAATGGAGATAATATCAGCACCTACATCCCAGGGTTGTCGTGAAGACCAAATGAAATAATATTTGTAAAAAGCATTTGGCACACAGTGCCTTGCCCATAGTAAACACTACATAGATACTTATTCCCTTCCCCCACTTTAGGGAACCTGCAACTTTTCCTGGGGCTAAAGAAGGGGCCAGTGGGTAACTGCTCCTGGATTCTGTTGCTCCTGGACCTCTACTTAGCGCCCTGGCATGCTGAGAATTTGCCCTACCTGTTTTGTGAAGACGGTACAACCTTGAACCTGAGATGCAAGGGAGGACCTGACTAGTCCCAGGTCACTTCAGCAAATGGTGAAACTCCTGGCCCCAGACATGCCATCCTGTGCTTCTAACCACTGCCCTGATCTCGGTCATTCACTTCCCTTGTCTCCATCTCTTTCTTTCCAACCTCCTGTCTCCGTGCTTTCAGAAATGGGGAGGGAAAGGGGGAGGATGGCCCCATCCACTAGCTGGTGATGGTTTTTTTTGACTCCGTACTTCACACCGAATCACCCTGCCCACAAATGTTACGTCATGTAGTGAGAAAAAATACAAGTGGGACTCAACCACTTTCTTTATATATTTCTGACCATTCATGTGGAGCCTCTAAAATGGGTGTATAGGGTTCCCCCCCCATTCCTGTGGAGGAATGAAACACTCACCATTATCGAAGACAGTGCCTGCTGTGAACGAGAGCTCTGAGTCATGTTCAGCCTTGCAAGCATACAAGGCTTTTGCTTTTCGGGATGGTGAGCTGTGAAAACACGAGTTTATTTAGTGGGTCTCCACATACAAAACAAAATCCCAAAGTGAAACAAACAAACAAAAACCAATAGAGAGCTATAAACCCAAGATTACACCTCTGCCCTCTTTTCTTGTTAAGTCACCTACTTCTCTCCATCTCTTTCCCATTGGAAGACATCAGAAAACTACCAGGTGTCAGGACATGAGATGGAAAAATTTCACGGTTCAGAGAAGAAAAATGAGAAATATTCAGACAAAGGCAAGACTTTCTGAGATGCCATTCTTCCTCTAGGGTCACCCTGTGCCACACTGAAGCTTATTCTGAGAAACAAATACGGAAGAGTGTCAAATGGGCCTGGCCCTACAAGAACTTCAGAATGGGAGCACCTGAAGGTAATCTTGGGAGTGGGAAGGCTGGGTCTGGGAAGCTTTAACAGGCTCTACTGCAGGGTATCATCAGGAGAGGTTGTTGTTGAAATTGGGGAATGTCTTGTGAGTCAGAAAGAAGAAATTCCAGAAAATCCAGGTCTTCACTTAGGACACCCAGGTTGATGTGGGCCCTCTCATACGTTATTTAAAAAAAAAACCAAACAACTTATTGGGAGGAGTTTAAGACCTGCTGGAGAAAAAAAGATACCAAAGGGCACTGCCCCCATGCACATGCTTTTGTGGTGCTTGTGATTAAAGATGTGTATTCAATAACTGTCTCCCAAGGCCAAGTACTTTGGGGATACATACCAATTCCTTTAGGCCTTTCTCAAATTTCTGTTGTAGGGCATTAAAATAGTACCCAAATGATGCTTCCTGACTGATCTAAGAGATTCCTTCTGGGAGGGTGAGGAGAATTAATTATTTGGGGTCAGTTGGGTAAGTGACACATACAGAAGATGTCATCTTCCTTACAAGAATTGGTCCTTTAATTGCCAAATCTGTTCTGGGAGCTCATTATGGAAAGAGATAGTACTGGTGACAACTCAAACCTATATTACAGAAGGAGCAGAGGGCTGGGATGTATTTTCCACTTATCTACTTGAGGGTTTCCATATTGATATTCATGTTCATGTGTACTACCTTGTGCCTGCAGGTGGATAAACTGAATCTAGGACCCAATGTAACACTTGTTTTGGTTTTCAGTGGCAGAAGTCAGCTTGAACTGATCATGGACAGCCCTAGAGAAACAGTACTTAGGCAGGGGAGGGACACTTTAGGGATAACTGTGGCTATATTTCTTCCTTTCCCAAGGAAGAGACCTGAATGAAAGAGGTGTGGGGTGTGGGGTGTGGGGTGGAAACTGTCGTAGGGCCAGTTATCTAAAATTCCTGGGCCTTGTGAATTGACAAGGTTAAAAAAAAATATGAAAAAGCTGGATGCTCAGAGCAGATGGCTGTCCCAATTTTGCTGCCAGCACACACAGTTTACTGTTGTCCTCTTGAGTGTTTCAGCATCCAGGAGAGAATGAAAATGGGATGGGGCTTAGGGCAGACAGGAAGGGAAACCCTTAAAAAAATTCACAAGCATCAACTTGAAGAGAACTCTCCCTGAGTATCATTTAGAAAAAGCAAAAGATTTATGAGACAAGGGGTTAACTATACCCTGTGATCTAAACCAGGGCTGCGCCTGACAGCTCAGGGCTAAATGCATAAATGTACAAATTCCCAGGGAGAAATAAATTGCACCTTTTTTTTTTTAAAGTTGTAGTGGTGGTGGTGGTGGTGGTGGTGGTGATGGTGGGGGAGAACAAATTTTATAGGGCAGACTGGGCAATCTGGTTGTGAAAACTGCTGAAATAGCAAAGAATGAAACTGCCAAGGAGGTGGGGAAAGTATGTGACTGACAACAAGGCGCAGTGTGTAGTTGAGAGGAAAGCACAGAGAATCCTCCCAGGTTGGCCAATGCCTTAAATACCAGGTTCTCAATCTGGCGCCCTGCCCTGGGGGAAAGGGAGGAACAGAGCAAGTGGGAAAAAAGAGATGGAGGAAAGTGAAGTAGTGAAGGAATACCAAGGGAGGGACTGCATTTTCATAGACTGGGTACTTTCAAAGAAGTTACTTATTAGCCAAATTTTAAAACAGTAATTGAAAAAAAAAAATGACAGGTAAAGAAAATCACTGGGGGAGGAGGGTGGTTGTTGGAATCTGGAAAGTAGAAAGTCAGGGATATCCAAGTGAGAAAGATGGTGATGAAAAAGAAATGATAGTCTATCAGTGGTTTTTTTAAAAAATGTGGCAAAAGAACAGTTACCTTGTGCTTTCTGGGTAGAAAGGAGTCTTGGGGAGCAGGGAGGTTAGATCAATCAATAAGCATTTATTAGGCTCTTAATAGACCATACAAGGGTCCTGTTTTTTTCCCTCCTGGGTATCTAAAGGGAATAGTTGACAAGCTCCCTAAAAGGCCTCTTCCTCATGGGTTCCTCCCCATCCTCTACCCCACCCACTCCCACCCGCTCCCACCCACCCACACCCACCCACCTCAATGCTACTGTAAGTATATGAAGGTGAAGGGAATATCAGAGTGGCTTTGGAAAAGGCTGGCTCCTATGCCCCAGGGAAGATTCTTTAATTCTTTAAAAACTGGCCACCCTAACCAGAGATTAGGGGCCATCTCTCTTCATTCCCACTTCTTTTTCTTACCCCCAAGCAGGTTCTTACCCATATGGAAAAATCCAGTCATCTGAGGTCACATTCAAGGTTTGGGCTTTGATTTCTTGCCCTTCATGCCCCCTCCCTCCCTCTTCTATTTTACCCCACAGTGACATCTCAACAGATGTGGGCATGGCACTAACAACACAGGGCTATCTCCACTGCTCCTGTAACAGTGCCCTTTACAGGTCTGCTGGGGCTTCAAGGACGTGAACTAGCTTAGGTTCTGCTGGTTCATTTTTAATTTTTGCCTCTGAGTATGGCAAGAGGCCAGGAAAGCACTCAATGGAGTTTCCCCTGTATGCCCTTGCAAGGCTTGCAGAATGATGATACACTTTTCCCTTGCCAGGCATCCATTGGTCTGGGTCAGGGTTGTGTGATAGATTGACTTGGTCCTTCTGTCAAGGCCTCCAAGTAACCCTTGTGTTGTGCAAGGGTTGAATAGGGCATCTACAGGTTCTTAGGGGATAGGAGAGGATGGAGGTGAACTCTGCTCAGGTTAATTATCTCTTTACTGGGCTACTCTAAGTAGTTATCTTTCAGATGTTCAGAAGAACTGTTTATGCAACAATAAACACCAAAACAGGTGGGAGGAGGGAGAAATAAGATAGACCATGCTGAAAGAAATTCATGGAATTACTACTTTTTTTTTTTTAAGGGTTCCCTCCAGGGAAAGAAATCTGAACTTCCAGGTTTTTTTGGTAGGCCCTACAGGAAATGAAGAACAGGCAGATGTCACCACCTTTTGGCTGTATTCGGCAATAGCAAAGAGGGATTCTATTCATTTGTGACCCACTGAATAACTGATTGTCCCAAGATATCACACATTTTCAACAGTGCAGGGCCACACAGACTTGCATCAGCCACACTCACTGCATTTCCAGTTTCTTCCTTGGGTGTTTCAAAATGGCAGCTTCACAGTTATTTCTGGAGCAGCCGCCTGCTCAGGGTGCTACTCCAGTATTGGCCAGAGAGGTCACTACTGAGCAAAAGGCAGTTCTTCCCCTTCCACTGCCAATATCCTGCTGGGTTAAAAATACTACCACCAGCATTCTTCTAACCCTCTAACATTATCTTCGGGTAGAACTGAATTAAGGGGAAAAGGGAATGAAAAGTCTAGGATTCTAAATCATTATAAAGGCCGTGCTCAATGTCAGGGGATGTGTGAGGAGAGACACACATATGCTAATATCCATAATTTTGTTATTTCTGCTGAATGGCATAATTACCTTCAATCTGTCAGCACCTTTCATCTAGAAGCTAACTTTCCACTATATGCTCCTTTATCAAAATTCAGGAACCAGATTTTTCCAATGCCCAAGTTATTTAGGCCTCTAGAAGGCAAATTTCTCAAGTAGTATTTCTAAAATACCATTATCACTTCATATTTATATAGCAACTTATGGTTTACAAGTTACTTTCATCCTAATAGAGCTGAGAAGTACACATGACCTCCCATTTTAGAGATGAGGAAATGGAAGCTCAACCAGGTTGTGACTAGTCTATGAAAATTCATCTAATAAATTGCAGAGGCTATAGGTGAACCCAAGTCTGATGATTCCCAAGTTCAATGCCATTTTGAGTAAGTCAATCTGCCTTCTAAAAGTTATGTGTTTCACATTGTCTTAACAGGTGGAAAGATATTAGTTAAGGTAATAGACATTGCCACACCCCAGGGCCACAGGGTATTGATAAAGGTGTTTCCTAGGGTCCATAATTTATTTCTAGGAAATGACTTGGGCAATAAGAGACTCTGATAGCTTAATCTTTACACCATCACTGTGGGGTGAGGGGAAGAACCTTAAGAAAAAAAACATATAACAAAGAATCTCTATCCTTCTGCACCTGGATTTAGAGATAGAGGGTCAAGCTAGTCTCAAAAGCCAAGATTTGCAGCTAACCCTAAAGCTGAGGTGGTGCAGTTTAAAACAGGAATTCTTAATCTTTTTGAATGTTACAGGCTGCTTGGGTAGTTTAGTGAAGCCTATGGACCCATTCTCAGAATGTATTTAAATGTATAAAAGTAAATATATAAGATTGAAAAGGATTAAGCTGAACTGAAATATAGTTGAATATTAAATATTTCATTAATACTAATTATTTATTTACTATTAAATATTTTTTAAAAAACAAATTTGAGGGCCCCTGGTTAAGAAGCCCTGGTTTAGAAGAAAGAATGCTAGACTAAGAATGAGAAGCTAGGTTCTAGTCCTGGCTCTAATTAATTAATTCAGAATATGTCACTTGATCTGTGTGCCTCAGTTTCCCATCTGTAAGCTAGGAAGAGTGCCAGTCTATTAATCTCATGTGACTACTGTGAGAATATAACGAAATAGCAGCATATGTGTATGTATATATGATAACACATATATAATATAGTTGGTCAACCATATTCCTTGATATGACTTCCTTTTTGTGGGAACATGTGCTTGAGCTGTTTTCATTAAGGCTATATTTGGGCTTTTTACCTAGGCTCAACAAATGAAAACCAACAAACAAACAACAAAAAAAAAAGAATCAAAAGATAAGGAACTGGAGACTAAATATTAAACAGTAGTAAAGTACGGTCAAGAGTTCTGGACTTGTGGTCAGAAGACTTGAGTTGTAGCTCTGCCAGTTAATAACGGTGTGACATCGGGCACACAAAAGACAGTCAAAGGCAGCCAGAACAGTCTGTAGCCTTTGCCTTATTCCTAGGTTGAGAAAGTGCCTTCCCTCTGAAGGGCCCAGGTGAAGTGGATCATAAAACTTATATCTGGAAGTCAAAAATGAAGGAAGAACTGTGATAAGGTCATCGCCCTCAGGGAGAGAAAACAGCTCATTCTGCTCACCAATGGAAAGAGGCACAACAAACTACAGATAAGCATGACACATGATGCTTAATGGAAATGAAGCCATCCAGGGCACCAAAAGCACTGGTGGGGAGGTATTAGCCCTGGACCCAATGTATTTTGTTACCAGTTGTCTGTCTAATTTAGTGTTTTCTGCTGGTGACATTTAGGGAAATGGGGTCTTTGTCTTGTACAATGCCACTTTCAACTATCGAGGGCAAGTCTCAGATATGGCTAATTCCTCATTAATAACTTGTCAAGCATTTATTATCCATTAATTTGTCCTAAGCCCTTCTTAAATCTATTTATGTCTACTCCATTAGATTATAAGCTCCTTAGGGGCAGTGGTATTGTTTAATCTTCATTGATCCATGTGTCAATACCCATAACCCTAACTGGGGAATGGAGAATAAACACTGCTTGCTCCTAACAAGAGATGGAGACAGTAAAAGTGGAAGGTGTGGTTCAAAGTTATTCCTGTTTTAAAGCTCTGAGGGCCTATTAGAGTTAGTTAATGACCAATAAAGGAACTTTACCTAGGAGATTCCATTTCAGAGCCCTGTCTTCAAATTTCACTATACCACAAATAGTACAGGGGAATTTACATGAGAAATTACCCACTGGCTTTGGTTAATTATTCCTTCAAGCATAGGATTTTTGTTTTTGACAGTAGTACTATGAGAAAGGGGTCAAATCTTACAAAATGTCATCCTCAAAAATTAGGTACACTATACAGACATCCATTTACTGAGCTGATAAGAGGTTGAACATCTAATAATTTGTCCTGAAGCCTACTGAGATCCTATTTATACTTTGGGCCTCATGGTAAGCAAGTCCAGGTTTGGGCTGCAGGGACCAAACCTGCGCAGGAGCCAAAATAACAAGTGAAAGCAGGACAAAGCAAATGAAAATATACAGCAGTAGCAACACGAAATCAAACAAACCCTGCAACAGACCTGATGGGGGATGAGTCACTGGACGTAGATGAGGTGGGCATAGGACTGGATGGCGCTGAGAACATGGGCCAGGACGGTGAGAGGGGTGAAGTTGGGCTTGGATTCGGGGGGGCTGTAAAACATAACCAGAACATTTATCAACAACACACAGGGGAACGATAAACAGGATCGTGAGGCATTAATACAAGACTGAGAGGGGTGGGAAGAAAGGCAGGGAGTGCTACAGGAGAAAGGACAAGCAAGAACACTGAAATCTGGGAATAAGATGTCAGTGCTGAATCTGCAAATTAAAAATGGGTCCTTCCAAGTCATACCTGTTGTGATTCCTTAGAGGATAAACACATACCTTTGCCCTGCAGAGCAACTGTTTACCAGCTTATGGGAGCTTCCTTTAATAAAGTCAGTTGTGCACTCTTCTGCTAAAGCAACATTCCTCAGATTGGTTTCATGCCCTCCTATACGTACAACACATCGACGGCATCTTCTGACCTCATTTCAGAACACTGTGTGTCCACGAAACCTTGGCCCTACTTGGTTGGTGTCCCCCCACCCCCTCCACCGCCGACTTGCTTCTGAATAGAAATGGCTCTTCTCTGAGCCACAGTCCATGTTAGCCAGAAAACCATTTCCTGTTTACAATTTTTAATAAATGGGCCTAGCACACTGGGGCCACAGAATAGTACAGCAGCATAAAGACAATTAATATGGGGTATTACTCACAGATGGGCAACTATCAACTGTTCTGGGGCTAGGAAATCAATCATATAGCAACTTTACTCTCTTGGAATTTTGAACAATGTGGGAACTTCCAGAAGGAAGGAGGGTGGAAGTGTAAGGAGTCAAACCAATCAATGTTGCTAAGTGTTGAGTTCCGCACTCCCTTCCGCCCTCCCCCCCAAAAAAGGTTGATATGAAGGGAGATGGAAACTATGGCATCTGTTTAGGATTTCATGTGGGCTTTTATCCATGTGATACCGTGTCCTATTTTCATTACCATTGATAACCAGGATATATTAATACCTTTCAAAAAGATAGTCTCAGGTAATGTAGTAGATACTAAGGAAATGATAAAGCCCATGTACTGTGTAGACACTGAATAAAGAACCAATCGATGGCTGCATTTTCTGGCTTAGGTGACTGTTTCACCAGTTTGAATGTACTATTTGATTTGACTTGTGACCATTTGGGCACCCAGGTATATTACTCCTGGGCCACAGCTAAACCCAACTGATTCATATTTATAACATGAAAATGATGAAAAGGAATCAGATTCTCTTCTGGGGGATGTTGAATGAAAAAAAAAAACTATGGAAATGTAATTGGTTTTTGGCTAAATTAAAAGTCTAACATTTGACCTCTGCACTTATCAGAAAGTCAATTATTCTGTGCACTTTGCCAAGACTATTTTTTAAAACTGATAATGTCATAATTCTAGTACCTTCCTGAACAGGAGGCAAGTAAGTATCTATTTCTCTGTTTTGTTTTGGAGATGCCCACCTAATTTGCAAGAGGAAAAACAATGGGGAACAAGGAAATTCTAACACAGAGACTTCCCAAGACTCAACTAGAGATTCCCATCCACATGAAAATTATCAACAACACTGAGAGTTCTCTTTTCAATCCTCTGTTTCCTTGGTTTTCTGTATTCACTGCTTGGGGGAAGAAAAGATCTATTTTAAATGCTGCTCACTCACCTTTTTCAATTACTAGGTTAACAAACATTTATTGAGCACCAGAATGCCAAACATCCTGGGGGATGGAAAAGAACACAAGCCCTTGTCTCTAACCTCAAAGAGCTTAGAGTGTAAATTGGACAGACAAGATATTTAGTACATATAAAAAGATAATCATGATGCTAGCAAGATAATACTGTATATATAAAAAGATAACTATAATACAAGGAAATATGTAATTGCCAAATGAGGGGTATTTACTGCCACTGATGTTTTCTTTGTTGGTCATTTAATTTTTTAAAGTTTCTGATTTTTTGTATCACCTTCATTTCAAAATATATCCCTTCCCTTCCCTCCCCTCTCCAAAGAATCATTTTTTTTTGCAATAAATAAAGAATAAAAAAGGGGGGCTGGGAGGTGAGGAGGAACAATTCAGCAAAACTCACATCTCAACAATATTGTGAAAGAACATTAGATCCTTTTAAAACATGCTCTTTTATATTTGGGTCTGCCCTGTGCAGTACACAGAGTAAGTACCTAATATATTACGTGACTCCCAATTACCTCTATGATAAAATCTGAACTATTCAGCATGGTATTTAACCTGTATTTACATCTATAAAGTCAGGTCAATCCACAATTTATCTCAACCCTACCTTCCTTTTAAAAAAAGTTGCTTTTTGTTTTTACACCAGTCATTTTCTTTTAACCCCTTCCTTCAATGAACCATTCCTTACAACTTCCTCTTCAACCTCCTCACCAAAAAATTTAACCAAACCAGTAACTGACACTGATCATTTATACCATATTACAAACCTGCATCTCTACCTCTTTACTCAGATCGAAGGATATGTTTCCTTATGATTTCTTTGGAGGGCAGAGATTAAGTACCATTTATCACTTCAATTCCTGCAGGTGACAGAAGTTTCCCATGTGGAAAGGATACATGGAAGGAGCTCGCCCCTCAGAATTCTTTGCTTTCTTCAAGGCTCTGCATAGATGCAACTTCTCACTCTAATTTGTTAGTATTGTCTCTCTGCACAAACTGCTATGTAGTGTGTACACAGTATCTCTGTAGAGGTGTAGTATCCTCTAGTATAGAGATCCTTAAGGTTGAAAATTTTTGGGGGGTAGGGGTGCGGTCTCTGTTCAAGAAATTTTCACTGAATTGGATTGCTTGTCTTATCCTTCATGGTCCATAGCTTCTTCCTTTGGGACCAGATGGCTGCATTTGGCCCTGATCCTGAGAGAGGACTCATTTTCCCAGCCTTCTCAAACACCCCCTCCCAAATGGATAATGATACAGTAGGGAAGCCCTGGAAACAACAACTGAACTGTGGGCTGGCACAAGGAATCAAGCTCATACCAAGATCAACTGGAGGCTCCTTATGGATGCCCCTGACCAGAGTCCAGAGCTAATTCACCCCCCTGTTCCACAGTTACAAATGGGACCTAAGAGGCATTAAGATTCTTTTTTTGGAGGTTTTCCTTAAAATGGATCTTAGAACTTAGAACTCCTCTGGCTTGTGGTTTCTTCTGAGTAATGTATTTGCATAAAAAGATGCTACTGGAAGATCCATCATGTATTATAATTTTTTTCTTTTGTTTTTGTTTACTTCTTTGGAAGGGTCTCTTTACAATCTTTACCCTAGCTGCCCTTTTCATTACAGAAATGCATGACTGTAGATTCATTTTAAAACAATTACCAAGACTCACTCCTCTTGACTGATACTTTCCCTTAACATTTGCATAACTTTAAGCTTCCTTTCTTACTTAGGACAACAAAGGGTAATAAAAAATAAAGAGCTAAACCACAAGAGCATTAAGGATAGATGTTTAGGAAGGCACTAAAGTTTAATAACATATCAACAATCCTGTTGGGAGGTACCGGGGATGAGACAGATGACCCTGGGCTCCTTCCAGAGTTATGAGGAGAAAACCATTCCCTGTTCAGATTATCCTAGAATGAGCTCAACAGTACATAACTTTGGGGTTCTGCCAGCCACACCCACTTCACGGCCAAACAACAAAAGTTAAACTCAAAGCATGGAAGGATTATTTGTTGGTTGAGTTTGGCGTTAAACATAAAGGCTTCTCAGGCTTTTGACCTATGATATCTCCATAAGGAGAACATCCCAACTGATAGGATCAGAGATTTAGAACTGAAAGTTATCTTAGAGGCCATCAAACCCACCCTATGTTTACAGATGAAAAAACTAAGACCCCGGTACTGAACTTATTATGGAGGAGAGTAAGCCGGAGGTCCATGGATGATGGAAATTAGGATCTGGACAGGATGGAGTGAACTTTAATGGAGGAGAGGTGATGGTGGTAGAGGAAGAGTCTGAAAGTGGCACTGGGGAGGAAGGAGTATATCAATCATTGCTCCTCAAGGAGCTGTGTGTCAAGGAGTATGAGAGAAGGAGAAACCAGCTTTGGAGAGGGTGCCAAGAGATGTGGTGTCTTCAGGAGAAACTGAAGTTTCAGTGACATCAAGACACTGGCTAACTGATGAATGGCAGAGAAGGTGGAGAAATTAGCCAAGAAAAGATTGAATGGTCCTCGTGAGGATACATTACGTAGGAAAGTCATAATAGGCAGCTAACAGGCTGTGTTGGGTGACTTGTCTACCTTGTTGCTTTTCCTTTTCACTGTAGTTTTCTCAGATGCAGCTGCACATCCATCCTTAGGAAAGCACATGGACATAGTAGGAATCAGGGTAGATGAAAGGAAGAATGGAAAAGATCTACAAAGACCCCAAATCTCACAGGATTATCTTTTATCTTTTTAATATATAAATTACATTAAATATTAACATAAAACATATTTATATAATTATTTTCTATAATATATACTATATAACATATTCAAAATATAAGTATATTAATATATTACATAATAACATGTTAATATATTTTTAAAAAGTATTCCTTTATGGTACTAAAGATTCCTCACATCAATTCTCTGATCAAAACTTTTCAGTGGCTCCCTACTGTCTACTGAATAGAGTTTAAATTCCTTTACCTGGCAATCAAGGTCTTCTATAACCAGATACCTCTCTACCTTTCCTTTTTAAAAATAAAATGTTGATACCTTTTGTTTTTTACACTGCAAAAATTTCTGCATGCATTCCTATCCCTCTTCCCACCCCCAAATGCCAAGTTGCTCCCAGGCAGGAATTCAACTTCTCCCCTCCCAAGATAGAATGAGTAGTCACTTCAAGCACCAAATTCCCCAGATTGCACCCAAAACAATGGTTCCAACTCCCTTGACAGAACATCCCTCATCACCCATAGGAGCCAGTGAAACCCCTTGCAACCATCAAAGGAAGACCTTCCTCTTATCCCCATCTTTTTGAATCCTTCCCCCCTCCTCCTCACCCACTCCCTTTGAAGTTCTTGTCTTCCTGAGAGACCACAGGAGTCACTGCCCCCCATCT